GAGGGAGGAAGGAAGGAAGGAAGGAAGGAAGGGAAAAAAGAAAAGAAAAGGAAGAAAGAGAGAAATTCAAAGCCCAAAGCATTTCTGTTCCAAGCATTTGAGGTAAGGGGTACTAAATCTGTATTAAACATTGTCTACACACTATCCATGCTATGCAACTTCCTTTCAAGGAGTCTTGCCCAGTGTTGGCCCTGCCTCCCTTGGCCATTTGTTCCAAGAGAACCTAATGCATCAATGCTCTAGCAAGTAGATCTGGCTTTCTCTCAATTTGAGTAGTATCTTGCCCTTTGCCAGTTGTCTGTCCAAGATGTATCATAAATTTTAGCCAATGAGCTGTATGAGAAACTTGGTTGTGGTAGGGAAAGGAAGGAAACACTTCAAAGAAAAGTGTCTTCACTTCAAGACAAAAATTTCTTTTCCTAGTAATCATGATGACTGGATGCTTGGCTGAAACTGCCATCCTGTTACCAGCCTGAGTATGAAGCCACCCAAGAAAGGGGCAGAGAGGAAGAACATTTGATGCTTACCCTACCTCCGGGGTTTTTGTTATAGAAGACTTTTTTGAAACAGGGTCTTCTTACTAAGTTGCCTAGAACAGCCTTGAACTTGTGATCCCCCTGCCTCAGGCTTCCAAGTAGCTGAGATTACAGATATGTAACACAATGCCCAGCAAGAAAATAAATGTTCTCACTGTTTAGGCCAATTTATTTAGCACTATTATTTGACAAGATACAGCTAATATGCCAGTGGACTCTGGAGCTAAGCTAAATGCAACTTTTCAGGAGTGAAGCATAATTAGAATTATAATAAAAATTCCTAATAGTAACTTAGCAGCACTGTTTTTCCTAAATAAACGTCTCTATTACTATGCAACTACTGCTATCTAGTGGATGCAGAGTAGCTAACTTGATCATTTCAGTCAAAAACAATTTGCAAGTTTTCTAATATGCTATAGTCTGAATGTTTACATTCCCCTAAAATTTCTATGTTGAAGCCTCATCATCAAAGTGATGGCATTAGTAGTTGGGACATTTAGAAGGTAACTACATCATAAGTGGACAGCCTTCATGAATAGGATTAATGCCCTTATAGAAAGGGCCCCAGAGAACTGCTGTGCCACTCCCTTCACACGAGGACAAAGCTATAAAGCACCACCTATAAATCAAAAAGCCCTCACCAGACACCAAATCTGCCAACACCTTGATCCTGGACCTCCCAGCCTCCAGAATTGTGAGAAATCAACATCTGTTATCTGGAAACCACCCATGTAACTTAAGGTAATTTGTTGTAGCAACCTGAAAAGACTAAGACAAAACACAACAGAAACAAAAATATTCTCAGAAAACATCTCGTCAGTAGCTATTTTTAACATGGCAAACATAACTTAAATTCTTCCCAAATTTTGACTAAATGTTCAATCTTATGTGTTCTTGAATATGCAAGTCCTCATTACTAAAGATACTTCAATCTTACAGCATTTTTAAGACTCAGGGGAGGGGTAAAAAAAAATACTGTCAACATGCAAGAACTAAATAATTCCACTCCTTGCGGGAAATATGAGAGGGATCTTTTTCTTATTTCCTCTACTTAGATGCATCATTAAAAGACTTTACTTCTTCCCAAGGCAAAACATACCACAGTTGAGTACCAGAACTGTGAAATGTTCTTTCTAAATGACCTGACAAGTTTCAAATGAAAATTTTCCCTCACTCCACCCTCTCAAATCCCGCTCCCCAAATTTACTTTCATTTTACTTACACCTGGGGAGAGGTGCAGTTGGGAAAGACTACCGTGTCACATGTACATTTCACCATTTCACTGAATAAGCCCAGCTGACAAGATCTAATCATAAAGCAATTTACATTTCAACTTTCTGTCACTTATGCAGTGCATTTTAGCAGGAGTCCCCAGCCATAGGACCACAGACACGTACCAGTCCATGGCCTTTCATGGGCCATACAACAGCAAGTGCTCAGTGTTCAAGCTGCTCCCCTTAACACCTGAGCTTCACCTCTGGTCAGATCAGTAGGGCTTTAGATTCTCTTAGGAGCCTGAACCCTACTGTGAACTGTGCACACAAGTCATCCAGCTTGTGCATTTCTGATGAGAATCTAATCCTGTAACTAACCCCATTCTCCCTTCCATGAAAAAGTTGTCTTCCACAAAGCCAGTCACTGGTGCCGAAAAGGTCAGGACTACTTACTCCCCTGCATTAGATAAAAATGAATGTTGACTCAATTCTTGGGTCACTTTTAAGAAATTTTTAAAAATCAAAAAAACTGTAGCCATGTATGGTGGTGCACATCTGCAACCCCAGAATTCTGAGAGGCTGGAACAGGAGGATTAAAAAGCTTAAGCCCAGCCTGGGCAACTGAATGACTTAGTAAGACCCTGTCTCAAAATTTTACAAAAATCAAAAGGGCTGCAGGTGCAGGTCAGTGTGAAAGCCTCGGTACCGACATACTTCAAGCGACAAAATAGTTTTGATTTGGTGATGAAAATCGTTAGTACTGTCTCAATTGAACCTTAGTTCTGATACAAAGTTGAAGCTTCTTCCCTCCTTCATCAATCTGCTGCAAGTGGAAAGTAAGCAGCAATGTGGTATAGCCAGCTTCCTCTTTCTAGTTCAGCCTAGACCTCTACTCCCCACCCCTCAAGTCCAATATGGCAATTTCTAATTCCTCCAGAGTTAGAACAAAGGGAGGAAAGGAAGCAGAAAAACCCTAACCTGATTGGTACTGTCATGAGTAGGTATCAATACTGTCCAAAGCACCTGGCAAAACACTTATTAGATCTCCAAGTGGTTTCTTAGCACTGGGATAGATGAAGGTCTCTTTTGACTTAAGAAAACAAAAGCACAACTTAGACCTCCAAAACAATTCAGTTTGACTTGTTCTCCTGTGATATCACACTAACAGCAATCTTCTCTGACCTGATTCCCCCGAAGTCATCTTCTAATGTCTAATTCCTGCCCTTTTGTCATAACCTCTATGTGAGCAAGGTTATAGGGTTATGATTCTTCCACTTCATAACCTCTAGGAGGTCTAATATAAAAAAAATAGAAAATAACAATTGTGGGTAAGCATAGAGACATTGGAACTCTTGCGTATAATTGGTGACTATAAAATGGTGTAGACACTCTGAAAAACAATATGAAGAGTCCTCAGAAAAACATACACACAGGGCCTGGGATTTAGCTCAGTGGTTTCACCGACTGCTGTGCAAGCGCAAGGACCCGAGTTTGATCCCTAGCACCCCCCCCAAAAAAAAAACAAACACACACACACACGCACAGATGAACCAGCGATTTTACTTCTGGGTATATACCCAAAGGAAGAAAATATCAGAGATACAAACAGATTTGTATATCTACGTCCATAGCAACATCATACATAATAGTCAAAAGATGGAAGCAATCCAATTGTCCATTGAGAGATGAACAACACGTGGTATTAAGGAAGGAAATTCTGACACATAACTCTATGGATGTGCCTTGAGGATGCTATGCCAAGTGAAATAAGTCAAACACAGAAAAATAAAAACTTTATGATTCTATTTATCAAATGTATTAGCCACTTTCTGGTCACTGGGATGAAATGTCTGACATTAACAAAGGATAAGAGGTTTATTTTGACTTATAGTTTCAGAGGTTTCAGTCCATGGTAGGCTGACTCCTAGGCACAGACATCATGGCAGAGAGGCATGGCAGAGGAAAGGTGTTAACCTCACGGTAACATGGTGAACCTCATGGTTTACCTCAGAGAGAGCAAGAAAGGGGGAGTCAGGAACGAGAATATACCCTTTGGGGTTACACCCTCATCTCCTCCAACCAGGCCCTCCCTGATAACAAGCACATTCAGCTACAAATTTATCAATGGATCAATCCTCATGTCCAATTCCTCTTTCAAAAACCCTTCTAACACATGAGATGGGGGAGGGGATCATTTTAGATCTAAATCATAACATTATGTGTCTACAATATAGACATAGAAACAATGTAAAATGGTGGTTGCCAGGGATGGGGCGGGGGGGGGGGGATGATGGGAAGTTATTTAATGGGTACAATGTTTCAGTTTGGGAAGATGAAAAAGTTGTAGAGATGGGTGATACTGATTACATAGTGAAGCAAACATACTTTATATCACTGAATTGTACCTATAAATTTTTAAGATGGTGAACTGTATATTGTGCATTTTACCACAGTTAAAAGTTAAAAATCAAAAAATTTAGGGTCACATTTTTTTCTGCTACCACACCATCCTTGGCAATATCATGTCTATTATCTACTCAAATAAAACTTTCATATTCACATCCTACCATAACTTCATCAACTAGGGATCCGTTCCAATTTCAGAAGCATTAAGCTATGAACAAGTGATTTGTCGTAGAATAAGCATGATTCAGAATTAGAGGTTTTCAGGCAAATTGGCCCTGACTCTAAAAATGCTTCCAAACCTTAGTGGCCAGTTTACTCCTGAGCCTATTACTGTGCAATTGTTCTAGCAGAGTATAAGACATTTTTCCTTAAATGCATTTCCCAAGCTCCAACTCTCACCAGGCTGATTTAGAAAATTAACTTGCCTCTTTGGAGCCACCCTGAATTAAAATTAATGTTCCAAGTCTCTTTGACCCATACCCAATCATTCATACACATAAGAGGAATTTTATGCTATAGAAATACTTCCACACTTAGAATTTAAAATAGCATTACTGCAACATTTCCAATTACAGAAAACTTACCACCAGAAAAAAAGGAATAATTGGATGCTTATCCAGAAACAATATTTTGAGCTGATTTAAAACTATCAAATCTCATTATTTTTACACTTGTCCTAAGATATAATAGAGAGTGCCAATATAATCTAAGGAAATCCTTGGGAGGAAAACAGTAAATCTTTCATATTATGGCAAGGAAAGATTTACAGACATAGTAGAAAAGGCATAAATTTAGCAAGTGAAAGATTAAAACCTAATATGCATAAAGTCTAGTTAGCATTAAACTCAGCTCTTCTATATATAAATGTGTTGAAAGTCTGTACTATCAAGATTCAGAAGCAATAAGCCAGCCATGAGAGGTAAAATACAAGTTTTACATCTGACCCAAAGCAGGGAAATGCTAATCAATATACATTACCAAACTATGTATGAGCCACAGTCCTCCACACAAGGACCATGTAATGGGAAATTAAGAATCCACACAGTGTAGCTTAGCAGTTAAGAAGGCCAAGTTCATTTTGTGAAACTCCCTAGGTTCAAATTTCAGTTCTGCCACTTATTAGCTCCAAAATCTTTAATGAGATTCTCAATCCCTCTGTCTCTTCATCTGTAAAATGGAAATTAAAACAGCATTTAATTAATAGGCTGGTAAAAAAAATCAAAGAAATAATGCAGCTAAAATACTAAGCACACTACCATGCTTATGAAACATTTCAGTTCATGTGTTTTTATGTAACAAAAAATATACATTTTTATTAAATAGAAGTTGAAAAGAAAACTTAATAGTGGCTTACCTAGCTTTCGATTCTGCAGCTCTTATTTATGTAAGTGCCGCCCCAGCAATCTCAAATTACAGGTAGTTAACATGAGTGTTCATGAGAATTATATGGAGAACTTGTTAAATGCAGACTACAGGTCTCACCCCCAGAATTTCTGATTTAGTGGGTCTGGAGTGTGCCTGAGGATTTGTATTTCAAACAAGTTCCCAGATAATTGTCAAGTTCTGTCTGGGCACTACACTTGCAGAACCACTGGTCTACAATGCTCTGTACCCCAGCTGTGACCACCATCTTCCTTTCCAGAGCTTGACTCCTACCATTCCATCTAATCCCAGGGACTAGCCCTGTGTGCTCGTGCTAAAGGCTGGCTATCACTCTATTCTGATGGCTGGCCCATAATAACAATATGTTCCATGTCCTCAACAGAATTGCCTAACAATAGACCAGCCACCTTCACACTCCAGCTTATCAGACCTCTGAGTACACAGAAGCCAGAACTCATGGTCCATTAGGAAGTATTTTCACCTTATCTTCACCAAATCCTATGCTTTCTCATACATATTTGTGGGTGTAATAAAAAAGCCTGCTTATTAAATAACTACATGGTTGGAGATGATCTTAAGGACAATGTTTTTATACTTGATCTTAGCCAAAAGGCCAAGAAGCAATTAAAAGTAATGTTAGAAATAACCTTCCCCTCACCCCCAGGATAGCCATGCTTCCTCATAATCTGGACAAAGATATCTCTTAGCCAGAAAATTCCGGGCCCAAAATTATATCTGATTACTTTTCCATCTACCACTGCCTTTATACTTTAATTTGTCCTTAAATTCCTTAATAGTGAATTCAGAGTAGCAGCCCGTTATAACATTTTACCAATTCCAAGGTCAGCAGAGCATTACAAAATTTTTTAAATGCACTAAACATTTTAGTTGCTTAACACATGCAGTTTTTCTGTACAAAACCATATTGGAAATTCGCAGTTTTTACCAGTGCCTGCATATCAAAACCTTCCCACGTCTTCCCAAATCTGATTTGACACCTCCAGCTGTAGAACTGAGTTCAGTTTCAGATATCCCTATGGTCACTGACCCACAACTATTTGATTAACCATTTCACACTGGAACACTCACCATAGTCAAGTACACTACACTTGATCCTGTAACTTCCATCTTCTGCTCAGGTTGAACCTTGAGTCACTGGACATTGCAATCTGTTGGAACATGTTATGAGTTTGTCACCTGCTGCTGGATTCTTTGCCTAAAGTGCAGCTTCCAGTGTTCTTGTCACTGCCCTTGGAGAGCCATACTGATCAAAACCTGGACCCCTCTCTTCAGTAAGAATTCTTGTAACTCCAAAGACAAGGCTGGGGCACTGTAAACATGCATGAAAAACTGAAGCCTGTAAACCCAGCACACTGGGAGGCTTAGGCAGAACATATTGCCAAGTTTGATCCCAGCCCAGGCAGCAGACCCCATCTCAGGACAAAATAAATAACATCTAGGGATACAGCTCAATGTGAAGACCTTGGGTTCAATCCTCAGTACTGCAATAAATACAACTGCCACAGAAACTCCACCACTCCAGTAATCAAAGACATAATAGCATAATAGACTAGAATTTTCTCAACTATCTGACCCATCTGGCATTGGATATTTCAAAAGATAGGGAAATAACCATTACCAAAAGATTATATTGATTGTTTTATAACATATGCAAATGTTGAATCAGGAGGCCACACACACATATTTTGAGAAACTGTCCCTTCCTCCATACCTTACAATTTTAGGCCTCTTATTTTTGATAGCAGCCAGTCAATAGATACTGTTTTAAATTATTAAAGCAACAGAGATATGTAATTACACTACTTAAAGCTATAAAATGACCAGCAGAAAAAAAAAGCACCTATTCAAATTCTCTTCTAAAGAATTTGAGTAGAAATGGGTCAGAATAAAGGTTTTGCTTTACCTTTCTGTACTGTTCATATCTCTTATTAAAAGCATATTTTTCAGTAATTGTGAGAAATAAGTATATGATGAGTAAATAACCCCCTCATTAATAAAGGATTAGCTAAGTAAACTGTGTGCTGTGCAATGGAATATCAGGCAGATACTAAAAGGGAAAAGGTGGCACAATATGACGTGATAAAAAACATAACCTTGGAATGCTATTAAATATCAAAAAAATCTGCAACAAGTATAGTCTGATTCAACGAGAGAGAGAGAGAGAGAGAATCGAGAGACTTGCATGAGCACAGAGATACATCAGAGGTATACAAAACAATTGAGATTTGGATAAATAGGGAGATTGTAATTGATTTTTCTATGCTGTTATAATGTTTAACTTAATACAATGGTATATATTATCTTCACAATTTAAAAGCTAACATTCTTTAGGGGCCGGGGATTTAGGTCAGTGGTTCCTCCGCCTGCCTCGCAAGCAGAAGGACCTGAGTTCGATGCTCGGTACCAAAAAAAAAGATAACATTCTTCAAAATAAATACACAAATTTTTTTAGACTCAGAAAATATGAAGCAATGGGCTTAAATTGCACACACAAATGTATAACCCATATCCAGGCATGATGGAAGAGACCTGTAATCCCAGCACTCAGGAGATTGAGGCAGGAGGATTGCCACAAGCTCAAGACCAGCTTGGGCTACATAGTGAGTTCAAGGTCAACCTGAACTACATAGTGAGACCCTGTCTCAACAAAAAGAAAAAAATTTATAGACCATGAGGGGGAAAAAACAAAACCCAGAGAGAATTGATGGCATCATCAGCACTACACTGCTGGCATGCTTTAGAATACTGGGAAGGAGAAAGGACCAGCCAATTCTAACAAATAACCTATTCCCTCCATGCCTTCTCACTATTCACTTATACCTTTTAATATAAGAGGAAAGTGCAAGGTACATGTTCTAGCCCTTTTACGTACGAGTAAGGCAATGTCCCAGGAGGACAAGGCTCCCTAAAGTCATGTAGCTACTGAGCAGCAGAATCTACTATAACCCAGGACCTCTCACTCTTAGTCAAAGCTTGTGCAATTTCTACAGCATAAAATTAAACGTTTTTCAAAAATAGAACATCATCCTACTCCAAATTTATCCTTTCTTCAAAAAAAAAAAGTTAGGGCTGGGGATTTAGCTCAGTGTTTCTGCCCCCTGCTTTGCAAGCACAAGGTCCTGAGTTCAATCCTGATACCAAAAAAAAAAAAAACTTAACAAACCTTGAAGGAGAGTTTTCCATGCAAGGCACTGGGAATTGGAAAAAGAAGTGTTCTTTATAGGTTACAAGGCAAGAGGAGGAAAAGAATGCTTCTTAAGCCTTGATTTGCTCACACTATCTCATTATAACAGCCCTGTACCACAAAGCTTGTCAAAGTCAGCAATTTATCATCCAAAGAAGTTTGATTAAATAATAAGACTTAGGCTCCTTCCCAGCCAGAGGCCACAGGTTACTCTGCAACCAGCCTTCAAAGACTGTCTGACCTCACAGGGTCCTAAAGAAAACAGAAGTGAGTCCTGCAGCTTTGAAGAATCATTTAATGGCTATTTCTATCTATCAAGGCTTCCTCTGAAGGCAAGAAAACAAATTTATCATTTTCCTGCCTCTCATGTTAAAGCTAAGAGACAGGAAACCCCAGCAAGGTGCTGACTGCCATTCTCTCACGGAAAATAGTACAACAAACAGCTGGGCTCAAGAGAAGTCAGAGCTGTCACTCGAAAGGAAGGAGAAGTGATTTTAATCACAGAGGTTTCCTGCGTATACTGCTTTCATTTTCAACCTACACGTTTGCATATTTTTAAATTAATAGACTTTTTAAAGCAATTTTCATAGCAAAACTGAGTGGAAGGTGCAGCCCTCTGCCTCCCACCCACATGAACATTCTCCTCCACCAACCCCTCCACAGAGCAGTACTTTAAAAACATAATAAATGAACCTAGATTGAAACATTATCAAGCAAAGTCATAGTTTCTTAGGGGTCATTCTTTGTGTTGTACATTCTCTAGTTCTTAACATGACATGTATCTACAATTGCATCACACATAATAGTTTCTCTGAACTAAAAATCTTGTGCTCTACTTATTCCTTTCTTTCCCCTACCACTAAAAGTTGTGATCCTACAGGAGAACATCTTATAATCCCCTAATACCAATGTTAACCATAATTTTTGAACTGAAAGTCAGACTGACAATGTTTACGAGATTAAGCAGACAAAATCAGATCTGCTCCAGGAAGCCCAGGACACATGGCTGTCACAATGTTGGCAGCATGAGCAGGCTGGGAGGAGCAGCGGAGGGCAGGCAAGGGGACGGCAGGACTGGAAAAGGCAAGAGAGCCTTTGAATGACACCACATGGGTGGAAGACACTTTCCTAGACTTTGACCCTGTGGAACTTCATGACTTATATTGGTTTGAACTTCTCAAAAAAGGCTCTATCTCCATCTGTAACCCCATAGCCCTCTAGCACCCTAGGACACTACCCCACACACCACAGAGCCCAGTTACTCATGCTCAAAGCCACAGAATTTCAGAGCCAAGAGTGATTTAAGGCAGAAATGCTAATCGAGGGAAGCAATGCAAGCTGCATAGACTAAATTTTCATCTTTGATTTAATCTATTAGCTGGCTTTCTCATTGCTGAGACAGAACACCTGACACCCACAATTTAAAGGAGAGATTTAATATGGCTCATGTCTTAAAGGACTTCAGTTCATGGTCAGCTGGCTCCAAGACAGAAACATTACGGCAGAAGGGCCATGATGGAGCACAGCTACTTAGTTCATATTGGCCAGGAAGCAGAGGAAGGGAAAAGTACCAAGGAGGAAGAAGTGAGGGGCCAAACATAGACCCCCCCCCAAGGCCACACCCCTATGACCCACCTAAACATACCCGAAGTGTGCTCCACCAATCCCCAAAACCAGTCAAATTGGCACCCCTCCCTAACCACCACACCCAATACATTCAAAATGTTACTGTATTCCAATGTGTTGCTGATATTTTTAAGTTGTTAATAAGCCCTTTTATATAGTTTTGTCTTAAGTCTTGAAACTCATTACAAAGTTTAAATTTGCAGCAGATCTCAATTCAAATTAGCCATCTCTCCAGTGCTCAACAGCCTTATGTGGCTAGTGGACTAAGTATTAGCAAAGTTTTAGAACGCATCCAAATTAGATATTTTTCACACTTTTCAAGAGCAGAAAGCCTACAAAGCTCCATATAGGCACAATATATAAAAAATAAAGAGAAGTTGGCTTTACATAAAGAATGAGAAACTAGAGACATTTATAGCTAAATTGATGCACATTGAGGCGATACTCTTAAGTGAAATAAAAAGGACACACTTGGGTAAATACCAAATAGTTTCTCTGGTGTGAAAAACTAAAAGTGTAAATAAGGATCAAAATGCATAATTGATATTGTGAAATAGGAAGAAAATGTCAAAAGGAATAGGGGAAATGGGAGAGAAAGGGGAAAGGAAAGAAGGAAAAGAAAAAATATGAGAAAAGGAAAAACATGGAAACAAAGTATTTATAAATAGGGAAGGGTGGAGGGGGTGAAGGGAGGTCAGGAGAATGGGGAAAAAATAAGAACCAAGATACATCATGTAAAGGTAAAAGATCCCAATGAGGAATGTAACTGTATTGTGTACCTAAAATGTACCAATAAACTTAATGGGAAAAAAAAAAGAGAAGGTGACTTTACTTGTAGTGGATGCCTGAACCCCTCCTTACTGGCCCCTCCAGGGCCTCCCCAGCCCTCCTGACCTCTACAAGTGTAGCTGACCCACCAGCTGGCCTTTGCCACCAGTCTCAGGGACCTCCTGCCCAGGCACCACCCATGGGGAGCCAACCCCATCTGAGCTTTCCCTACCCAGGCTCCACTTATGGGGGACATCAGAGGATGAATGAGAAAGACACTGAGTCAGTTTAACATGCAGGCAGCATGAGGGCTCTTGCTGCTTAGCAGGCAGAGGACCCCCCAGTGTCTGGCTCACCTTGCCTTTATTCACCTGAACACGGGTACAAGCAATCAAAGTAACAAGATTCACCTGCTTTCCAATATCCATTGTACATACTCAGGTAAACAACTTAACCTTAGCTATCTTAACTTTTCCCTAGGACCTGAAATATGCCATCACCTCTCAATGCAGCCTTTCTCCTTCGTGCTCACAGTGGCGGCCAATTAGGCCTCAAATCTCCTCTAGTCTC